GGGGTGGGGCAAGGTTCTGCATGAAGTCAGGGCCAGAGCTGGGGAGAGAACTCAGGAGTCCTGGCTCCTAGTCACCCGCACCCCACTCTAACCCATCAGACCCCACTCCCCTCCCAGAGCTGGGCACAGAACCCAGGAATCCTGGCTCCTAGTCACCCCACCCCGGTCTAACCCACCAGACCCCACTCCCCTCCCAGAGCTGGGCACAGAACCCAGGAGTCCTGGCTCCTAGTCACCCCCATCCCACTCTAACCCACCAGACCCCAGTCCCCTCCCAGAGCTGGGCACAGAACCCAGGAGTCCTGGCTCCTAGTCACCCCCATCCCACTCTAACCCACCAGACCCCAGTCCCCTCCCAGAGCTGGGCACAGAACCCAGCCCCCCTGCTTTAATTCACTAGACCCCACTTCTCCCCCAGCACTGGGCATAGAACCCAGGAGTCCTGACCACACTAGAGCCAATGCTGGGGAGTCCTGTAATTAAAGGACCCCCAGCAGCCAAGCACAGAACCCAGGAGCCCCGACTCCGAATTCCCCCCACCCCAGCCACTAAACCCCACTCCTGCCCCAGAGCTAAGAACTGAACCCAGGAGTCCTGGCTCCCAGCCCGACCCCGGGGGCTGAGGCCTGCAGAGGTTTCATCTAGTCCAATCCAGGCTGCTCTGCTCCCAGGGCAACCGGCCGCCCGCGGGCGCCTCACCCTTTCTCCGGGTGCACCGTGATGGCCCGAGGTTTATCCAGCCCCTGCGAGATGACAACGTAGCGGAATGACCCGTTCAGCCTGGCCACCTCGATGACGTCGAAGCCTTGGTCCGTCCAGTAGATGTTTCCTGGGGCGGGCGACAGTGACATGCTGTGAGCCAGGCCCCGCTCCCGGCCGTGCCGGCACGTGGCTCCCCTCCCCACAGGGCCAGAGCCCGGGGGACGTATGGACGCGCCTCACCTGCTATCCAGTCGACCGCGATGCCTTCCACGCGCCCGATCCCATTGGTGACCACGTCCTCCCGCCACGTCTGGTCGCGCTTGGCCCGGCTGATGGTGCTGAGGCCCATGTCCACCCAGTAGATGGTGTCGTTCTCTAGGGAGCAGAGCGGGCGGGGGGGTCAGGCAGGCAGCGTTCTGCACAAATCTCACCAGCTGGGGGCGCTCACGCAATGGGGAAGACATGCCAGAAACAGGATACTGGGCAGGGCTGCAGAGACGGGGGGCGGGGGGCGCTGAGGGGTATGGGGATTGGGGACAAGGCTCTGGCTACGGCCTCGTTAAACCTCACGCCTATCGGCCGAGCTGAAGAGGGTGGGGGTGAGGGCCGCCCAGCGACGCCGCTCCGCATCTCCAGCGCCTCCCAGTCTTTCCCCAGCTAGCTCAGCCGCCCTGGCGTCGCCATCCCCATCATGCCATGGGGGAAACTGAGGCACAGAGCAGCAAAGGGACTCCCCCATTGGGTCAGCGGCTGAGCCGGGCACAGAACCCAGGAGTCCTGGCTCTCGGCACTGCCTGGCAGCAGGGAGGGATGTTGTCTCCCCTCCAATCTCCGGTCGGGCCCGAAGCCTGGTCTACGAGGAGACCGTGTCGCTGGTGCCCGAAGAGCGGCGCACGGCGGCTCTCACCCGCGTGGAAATCGATCCCCACGGCCAGCGAGGTCCCAGACACGGGCACCAGGGCGTCGGACTTGTCGTTGGGATCCAGGGGGATGCCGCGGATCCCCTCGTGCACCGAGTACAGCAGAAAGGAGCCCACGCCTGCGAAGGCAAGGGGACAGTCAGGGGTCTCTGCCAGCACAGGGGAGCCAGGGAGCCGCTGGGCTGTGGGGAAAAGGCAGCGGCTTCCCAAGGGCTGAGCAGAGCCATGGAGAAGGGACTCCCGGCAGCCCGCCCGTGTCCCAGCAATACCGAGGCTGGTCTGTGCTGGGACGGGGTGTGTGTGTGTGTGTGTGTTGTACTGAGTCAGATGCAGCATGAGGCATAACTACACGTGCCTCCCCAGCGCCCCCCCCCCACGCCCACCTCCTGGCACGCTGGGTAAACTCACGCATGGGAGCCGTGGGCGAGAGCGAAGGCAGCTGTCACGGGTTTAGCTCCGCAGGCGGGAGGAGGGGGAGCAGGAGATGTGGGGCACAGTGGGCTGCGTGGCCAGGACACCCCTCTCTCTGCCCCCCAGGGGTGCAGATAGTGCTTGTGGGGCTGAGCTGACGGGCCCGAGCGGCTGCAATGGAGCATGTCTATGCTGACAACCCGCGAGCGCCTCGGGGTGATTTCCGTGCTCCGTGGGGGCGCAGTTCCATGCAGGTGGGAAGGACCCCCCATTTCCCCCGTTATTCCAGCCGTACCCACGGGCAAGGGGGGACCCTGGGCTCTCAGCAGCCCCCACAGCCAAGCGATTGAGCTCAGAGCCTGACCCACTGCCCTTGGGCTGGGGATCCGGCTCATCCGAGCTATCTCTTCCCCGGCTCATCCTGGCTCCAGGCTGGGCCCTGTCGCTGGGATCACATTCCCCTCCTCACCGTGCTCTCTGACACCTCCCCATCACCAGCACCCAGCCATTCGCCCCGCCCCAGCACCCAGCCATCGCCCCGCCAGCACCCAGCCACGCCCTGCCCCAGCACCCAGCCACGCCCCGCCAGCACCCAGCCACGCCCTGCCCCAGCACCCAGCCACGCCCTGCCCCAGCACCCAGCCATGCCCCGCCCCAGCACCCAGCCACGCCCTGCCAGCACCCAGCCACGCCCTGCCAGCACCACCCAGCTGCTGCCTGTGTAACCAAGCGCCAGTCTCCAGCGGCTGCAGGCTGAATTCGCCCATCTGCCATTGCACATCCTGCGCCGTTCCCAGCCTCCAGGGCTCGCAGGCCGGACGTCAACCCACAAGCCAAGAGTTTCAGGAGCGACAGGCCATTCTGGGGGCTCGACTGAAGCCCCCTTTAAACACCTGGATTTTTCAGACACGGCTGAGCCCCGACAGGGATCCCAAAAAGGGAGGCGTGGAGTGACACTGGAAAGCCCTGGCCGGGGGGAGCTGGTGGAAGGAGCGATCAGGACCTGGGCCCGAACCCCCTGGGCAGAGCTCCCACGTGCCGGGGCTCTGCAGACGCCCAGGCTGAGATGCCTTAGCAGGGCCTGGCTCTTGGGGGACAGGCGCTCAGCCCCTTCTGGAAACCAGCCCCATCTCCCATCCCCCGCTGCTTGGGCAAGCCCTGGCGCCTGTCCCCCCAACCCCCACCCCCACCGCTTGCTGGCCCTCCTGCCCGACACGGGCTGCTCGCTGCAAGGCCAGTGGCAGCGCTGGTTACATAGCCCCCGCCACGGCCCCGCCCGACAGGGGGTCAGGGATGGGCTCTGTCCTTTGCTGCGTTTCGCCAGGAGAATGGGGAACGAAGGGGAGAAGCCAGCGGGGAGCGAGGCCTGGGGAAGGGGAAGGGAAACCGGCCGGCCCCGAGGCCAGGGAGGGATGAGCCCAGGTGCCTCCATCTCCTCCTCGCTCAGCGGCAAACTCCTGGCGTGTCTTGCTTCCCGGGGGCTGCTCCACCCCTCGCTCACAGTGAGAAGCTACGGTCCCCCGTGCCCCTCCTTGAGCGGGCGTCTGCCCCGCTCCATGGGAGCCGGACCGGGAAAGAGACCCCGCCACCGGGCAAACGCCATCATCTCTCCTCCGCTCCCCTGGCCATCAGACTGGGCTGGCGAACGTCTGCGCACAGGCCGCACCACGCAGAAGCTGGGAGGAAACGCCCCGCACCCGAGCAGAGGGCAGCCGCGCGGCGCACAGCAGGACAGCCCGGTGCCAGGGCGTGGGGGGCAAGGGGAGGCGGACTCACCTTCGCAGGACTGCTGCCCGCTCTTGAGGCTGTAGCCGGCGGTGCACATGCAGGAGCGGGTGGTGGGCGAGGTGGGCAGGCAGAGCTGCGAGCAGTCGCCGTTGTTCACGCTGCAGGGGTTGGTGCCTGGGCGAGAGAAGGGAGCGGGTCAGGGGGCGGCCGGGGGCCTGGGTTTGCTCCGCGTGGCCAAGGCAGAGCCTGATCTGACCCATAAGTGCTTTGAGACACCCCCTCCCGTCCAGGGACCTGCTCGCTCGGCCACACGCCGCCAGCCGGACGCCAGAGCCATCGCCAGCCGGCCAGAGGGCACCCGCCTGCACCAGCATTGACACGACAGGGGACGGGGCTTTCAGCCGGGGAACTGGACGGACACAGCAACCCCCAGAACCCAGCACCAGCCCCACCTGGGGCTGGGCGCTTCCAGCCAGCAGCGGGGCCTAGGGACCCCTGGCAGTGCCAGGCCCCACACATCAATCCCCAAGCACAGAGCGGAGCCGGCTGCAGCATCGTCCCCACAACCCCCCACGGCAAGAAAACCTGAGCCAGGCGCCCAAATCGCCAGAGTTCTCCAAATAACCCAGGTCGGGTGCCTGGGCCTGCCGGCTCCTGTGCTTGGGTCACGTCTTCGCCCTTAGGGCCCTCCCCGGGGGGCCTCTCCTCCCCCTCCCCGGGGGGCCGCACCTCCCCCTCCCCGGGGGGCCGCACCTCCCCCCTCCCCGGCTCTCTCACCGTGCTGGACGCTCTCGTCATAGACCTTCATGTGCATGACCAGCGTGGTGCTGTTTCGCAGGACGACGGCCCCCGTCCCGTCCTTCTTGTTGCAGGTGCCCATCTTCTCCGAGGCCTGGTCTGCCCACCACAGCTTGTCGCCTGCCAGGGGAGGGGCCTGGGGACTCAGCACCGTGCCCGCTGCCCCCAGCCCAGCGCCCACCCCAGGGCCCGGCAGCAGCGCCAGCCTCCGGCGGGCAGCCGGGCTCCACCCGCTGCCTGCAACCATCTGGGGGGCGGGGGGCTCAGGCTGCTTCCTAATGGGGAAACGTCCCCCAGCCCCCACCCCCTCAATATCCCTCGGCTCCACTCCCCCATCCCTCGGTTCCCCCTTCTCCACCCCCCCACCCCTGCCCCGCCCCCTCAATATCCCCTGGCTCCACTCCCCCATCCCTCGGTTCCCCCTTCTCCACCCCCCCACCCCTGCCCCGCCCCCTCAATATCCCCTGGCTCCACTCCCCCATCCCTCGGTTCCCCCTT